ATCATGGGCAAGTTGTCTTAGCAGCACCGTCAATGTAAGCATGCTAGTATGATCGTGGAGGTGATGGCGGCGGCAGCAGGAGCAGGAGTAAGAAGCAGCCAGTACCAGTGGCAGTCGCTGTGTGGATCTTGCAGTCCCCTCTTGTCGGAAAGACCTTATGACTTGCGGGCCCGCTGCTGCAGCAGCATTGCCTTACAGCCAATGCCGACACTGCACGTGTAAATTGGCTGCTGTGCATGTTCTGAGCGCACCCCTATCTGCAAATCCGGCAGTAACTACCCAACTCCCATGTAAATACCTGCGAGAATTAGGTCATACTGCAGTCAAGGTTACTAGCAAACACCTAGAAGAAACAAACTATGTGCAAGTACGGGATCGGGCCAGGAACATTATGAAACTGATGAGGCGAACTACTGCGGCAGGGCAGAAGCAGCAAGGTCGATGATTCGATGCTCATTACTTGGGGGAATGGACGCTGCAGAACTTGCACTGGGCTGCAGTTAGACGATGCCTTGAGGCACTTTATTCACTGGGCTGAAAAGCCCAGCTAGCTGAATCAATGGGCCCGGTCAAACGTCCAAGGGCTTGTGTACCTGCACCTGGTGTGCATGATAACACTGCCTCTTGAACTGGAGCACAAAACGGTCTTACACATCGCACGCTTAAGTGGGTCAGACGTCACGTCGGAAGATGCATGCTTTCTTCGTGCGTAGGACTCAACCTCCGTATCAGTGCTTGAAAAACCGGGTACTCCAAAAAGGATTGGTTCCTTTGGCCAGCATACTTCCGAGATCGTCACAGGCAGCGTGAAAATTCAGGGAAAATAGATCGGGAATGGTTCAGGGCTCCATTTTCAATGGACTGCCCTGTCAAGAATGAGCTTCGATGATGAACGGTATCAGGATTCATCGACACTTCACAGTGATCACATGAATAAGGCTGCGCAAGTGTTTGCGCGTTCTAGCTCTTGCCGATGCTGTGCTCTGTCCGCTCTGCTGCCAGCTTTTGGTTGTGACAAGGCCTGCCTCGTCCACAGTCGAAGCTTGGCACTGTGCCGTGCGCGCTTTCCAGCATTGTCTGCAAACCGCAAGCAACTTTGCAAAGAAGCGCCAGGTGAGCACAGCGACGCGACTCAAAGCAGCATGGCGGCCACTCCGTGCTGGGCACCTCCATGCCGAAGGGAATGCTGCAGGGAGAGGAATTTGGCGTGCAGGAAGCTTGAATTGAAAGGGAAGCTCGTGGGCATTTTTTCGTTCATGTGTTGCACACTGAGAGGAAGGGACTGGAGATCCTGCATCGGTTGGGTGCCCGAACAGAACAAATGGAGAAATGACAGAAAGCTCCAGTGCTGCAAATGAGCGAGGATGCTACGGGCCTTTGCTAAAGCTCCAAGTCTACATAGAAGCACCAACATACAGACCTCTATTGTCCCTGCATTGTGGAAATTGTGTTGCTGGGTTCAGGATCTCCGTACTACAGCACCTGAGACCTGCGTCGCTCGCTAGTGACTCTAGTGCCCGGTAAAAACAAGGGCCTAGGTCCGGGCTTCGTGAGCTTCGTTTCGGCACAGGAATTAGAACTCCCGCACTCCGTGACAGGCCCAAGCCTTGCTGTGGTGGGCAAGGACAGCACATCACTTTGCCGTCTGCTGGCTGAGAAGAATCAGGATTTGCCTTCGATGACTTAAGTTTAACGCGTTGGCAGGGGCAAATCTCTCAAAGCTTGGACACCACATCACAGGAGGAAACCAGCTAGCAGCACGGACTGTGGCTGCCTACCTCTAACCCTAGGCCGACATCTTGAAAAGGAGGGCCTGCCAAACCCTAGAAGAAATGCGGAATAGCAAACAAAAAGGCCCGGCGTGGCAAACCCGAAGGAGGCTGTGGCCCAACAAGCAAAAGCCCTCTGTCGAAGAGTGGCAGACGATGGCGATTTGCTGCAGTACTTCAATCAGGTTTCATTTGGCCCTTCTTCTAGAGGTCTGGAGCTGCCCTCCTCACTTACGGGTGAGCAACCAAGATGCGAAATGTCGCGGGACGCAACCGGCTGGGAGGTAGCTACCTGTGACAGGTTGCGGCTCTTGCGAGTCAACGCACTTCTACGGACGAGGGAAACAAGCAAAACGCGAAGTACTTGCAACACTGGCAGCGCTGGAAACAAGCGAACACAAGTGCTTCGCGGCCCGGAACACTGAGAGGCGGAGGGTTCCATTGCATCTGTTGGGGTGCACTGTGAGGGCTTCCTTGAAGGTAACAGTGGGTTCACGTTCTTCCCACACGAGCGAGTCAAGCCGAGTTGGTCTCCGCGCCTCCCACCCAGGGCAGCGGCCCTTTACGCAACTCAGGATTCGCACCTGTGCTGTGAGAAGAAAATGCGATCAGGGTTGGACCTGTTTTCGACTAGCCGACTAGCCAAGTCAACGGAGACATTGCATCAGCAAATACCAGGGATAACCATGACGAAGCGGTGCAAGAACCTCGAACATTCACAAACATCAAAGCGCCGCAAGTCTGGACAAATCCAGCACATTGAGAGTTGATTGCTGTGGAAAGGTCATGCTGATGGTGTTATGCTCATGTCCCGCTCGAGTCTGTCAGTCACGAGCGGGATGTCTACTAAAAGCTCTACTTATTTGCCCAATGAAGGTTTGGCCTTCCACATTCGTGACTTGCCTACCTGCGGCATGGACCATGCTACGCCATAGGCAGTACCGTGTTCCACCACATCATCCGACACACTCCAGTCTTCGTATCCTACGCAAGCCGGGTGTGAGGATCTCAGAAGGGGTGAACCCTAAACCCTAAACCCTAAAGTCCCATTCCCAAGCCCCGGATTTCGCAGCTTCCAGGCCATGCTGCACGACGCCTTCGATCTTCTGTCCAGAGAGCCTAGGGCTTGGGCACCCATCGTGAGACGAAGTTTGCAAGTGCCCCAAGGCTCCTGTGTAGCCTGACTGCTCCAGCCCAAACCCCGAGCATCTCGCAGCAACATGCATAAAGGAAATCTCGATTCAACGTGCGTGTGCGAATCCCATTTGGGTCCGAGCATTGTCATGGTCTCGGCGAGTGTGGGGTGGATCCCAACGCAGTCGTCCAGTTGATTCTGACAGGCTCACGGGTGTGGGTGCGGGGAGAGGTGCCAGGTCAGAGTCAAGATAATTATGGTCCTGAACCCTAAACCCTAAACCCTGGGGCGATTTTCATTGGGCTGGGGGCATCATTGAAGACTTCCTGAGAAACTGAGGCTCTCCGTCCTCCAGCCACGGTGGGGCCATTCCAGCTGATACGTTCCAGTGCGCAAGGCTTAAGCAAAACGCCTTCCCACTAACTGCAAAGTTTAGGGTTTAGGGTTTAGGGGCTCCATCAACTGTCGTGAGTGTAGAAGCATATCATATCTGCCTCTAGCTATCATCCTGAAGCGCCTTCGTCACGCCGACCTTCATGGCGAGTCCCACTGCCTGGGTGATTTCGCCTGTGGTCAGGAAGCTTAACCATCTCCGGGCTGTCGGAACCACGGAAGAGCTGGGACTGGTGGGGGCCTTACTGCGTGTGGCCTTGCACACCGGCAGTGGTGATGCTGAACATGATAAGGATGATGGTGGCCCATCGGGGTTTGTTGACGAAAAGTCACAGCTGCAAGCGCTGCCTGCGTTCGGGCCCAGGACGTGGAAACCCACGACGCGGGTGCCTTGCTTTAACTAGGACATTTGTGGCGTGAGCTTGCATGCTGAGCCAAATGGTGTTGTGGGCAAAGGTTTTTTCTTGTGTCGCGAAACGATACGTGATGGCACCTCTACAGGGGACGTGTGCTGTGCCAGCCTATGCAGCAACAAAATCGTGGTGCTAGCACTACACATGAAGGCACAATGGCTGTAGCCGTAGCCATCAGTAGCCCTAGTATTATTAATAGGAGGGCTGGCAGTGGTAGCAGCAGAAGTTGCAACAACAGCGGTACCCATACCAGTGCCCGTGCAAGTACCAGTGCAAGTAACTATCAGTACTAGTACGAGTATGTTGCCTCCGATGTTGCTCGTGATGTCTGTTTCTGTTGATCGGTGTAGGCGTCGCTGTTGCTGCTGTTGTCGTCGTGGTTGTTGCTCTTGTCCATGTCAGCACAAGTTCAACAGCATCGATGGTAGGCATACTAGCGGAGAAGCAGTCAAGCGTAGGAACAAGTAGAAATGCGGGAGGTGGTGGCAATGCATGGGCTCCTCTGCGATTACTGTAGACTTGGCCAGCAGCTCTTGTTGTCCACCAGGACCTTGAAGAAAGCATCCTTAGAGGATCCACCCCAGTTTAGCGTCAGGAGCAAACAAGTCCCGATACCATAACACCTCTGCTTCAGGATTGGGGATTAGGGCAAGCTAGGCCATCAATGACCACCCCCGGAAGAAAACACGCCCTCCCACAGTGGGGCGGTCGACACTCACAGGGAGCTTCAGAAAGTCCATGGTGGCTCTGGCGACCCTCTCATCATGGAACCCCCTTCGCCGACCCTGAGGCCGCTAGTTCCGGCTTTCCAGCATAGCTTGACAAGAGATTGTGCACCACTTACTTCCAACAAGGTGCTGGAGCAACCATCAAAAAGGCCCGGAAGCAAAGCCGCGGAAAATACCCCCGAATCTTTAGATCCTTCAGCATCTTCGTTCTTCGACCGAAAACAGTTGTCTCAAATCCTCTCCAAAGCTCGGGGCTGCGGTGCTTCACGACGGACCACTCGAGGGGCTTAGCCTCCTGCAGAAGGCTGGGTTGCTGGGGTTAAATCGGCACGGGAGGAACCAAAGAAGAGGCAGCCTGGAGCTGAGCCAAGCCGAGTGGTGTTCTTAGATGTTCTTAGTATTGTCTGCCATGGGTCGGTTGCCCCGAACTGAACGACTGTCAACGGACTTTCACCATGTACAGCTTCGGATCTTGCTTCGTGTTGCTGCGGTGGAGGCCACCCTTCCTTAACGTGAACTGTGCGCACGCTCTTGGCCGAGCATGAGCAACGCACACTCCTCGGCCTACGCTCGCACAACTCGGGCAGAGCCGTTCCGCTCCTTCGTGTAGGAGGTGTAGCCGTCGTCCCCGTACCTGGAGAACCCAGCTTCCAAAGGTCTGGAGTCGTATCGCCTTGGGGCCTGACGTAGCTTCGCGCCTTTCCAAGTATGATATGGGTTCGCTAAGATGCCAGGAGCTCCAAAATAAGTATGGACCTGTGCTTTCTGTTGAGGGCACTTCTCCTTGCACTGCTCCTCGTTGAGGCCACACATGCCATATTCCAGAGGCGTGAAGACCTGAAGCTAGGCCGTGTTCGCCTGTCTCCGATGATTCGGATTTCCTCATGTCTTCCCTTTTTTCTCTTCGGCTTTGAACAAAAGAACCTCCGAAGCTTCCGGGACAGCCATTGAAGAACACGCCCGAAAAAACTCCGGAATCCTACTCAGGACCTCGAACTGCACAGGCATCCGAAGTTAAGTTCGCGCGACTCAGACTCACGACGACGGCAGATACAGGAGGCACCCTTGGACTTGAGATGAGCGCAGTGTACCTCAGTAAGCCGATCCCCTGTTCCCAAAGTCCCGACGTCTTCAGGAAAAGCCTCAACCTGCAGTCGCTCGGAGTTCACACTGCTGCCGAAGATCCGTGGTCGCGATCAGGCGGTAGTTCATAGCCTGGAGATGCTTTGACTTAGCGGTGACAGCTGGCAACGTCCGCGGAGCATGAGAACGCCAACCGCAGCCGGCAGCCATCAAGACCCAACTCCGATGACATGTCCTAGTGTAGGCGCCAAGAGATGGTACGAGTCATTGAGATCCGTGCGCCGTGAGATGCCAAAGCCCTAAACCCTAAACCCTAAACCCGAATGCAACTGGACTGGAGCTTTGACCTCCTGGTCGCCCTGGAAGAGTCGGTGCACCACCTCCGCAGCACAGGCAGAATAGAACTTAGACTCAGATTTCGTCTGTGCTGTTGACGAGTGGGATGTAGGGCTTGGGGTTTTGTTTTGGAAGTTTAAGGGGGCTTTTTCCGGCTGTTTCAAGGAAAGATAGCTTGTGGGTGGGGTGAAGGATTGGGCTTTGCATTACCCGACCTGGCTCTCTCCTTTGGTCCAGGATCCTCGAAATTTCCTCAGAAGCCCAGGGGCCCACATGGGGGTTTCCGAAAATAGGGGAGCCTAATATAGTACCCTAAATACTAGGATCCTGATTATAAGGACCCCAAAATAAGGTACCCCCCAATTTTCGGAAACTCCCACATGGCTACCGAGGCATGAACGGCACAGCAGAAATTCACAGTTTCCAGCGCTGTCCGAAGCCCCGGGCTGGCCTTCTTTCCGGCGACTTTGGCCACGGGTGTCAGCTCTGGCCTGTGCCGGGGACGGGGCCGGGCCGGATTCTCATTTTCTTGGACTTCTTGGGTTAAAATCTTCGGCATGATATGGGGCTTTCCGAAAATAGGGAACCCTAATATAGTACCCTAAATAGTAGGATCCTTACTATAAGGACCCCAAAATAAGGTACCCCTTGTTTTCGGAAACTCCCATATTAGCTAAAACTATGGGGGTCTTACATGAAGGACCCTATGTTGGTCAAGAGCCCCTGCGCTCAACGCAGCTCGCTGCATCTTCAACGAACGCTTCGGCGCTCGGCTGGGAGGAGAGCAACCAGGAGAAACGGTGTCTTGACTGATTCTGTCTCTTGCCGCCAGAAAAAGCCTGGTCACGACCTAGGTTCTGTATTGGCGTCCCCTAAACTCCCACACAAACAGTCTTCCCATGGCTAAACCCACCAGCTCAGCCACTGGAAGCACACCGGGTTAGGACGAAGGCTGCAAGCCCTGCAACACCAGAAGGTGAACCCTAAAGCTGTTTCTTCTGTGCCCATTCCGTGAAGCCTGTTCTCGACGAGATCGCCAATGCAGTAGATGTTGGGCACCTTATTCCAAGGCAGAGGATACTCCAGCAGCCTGAACCCGCGACTTCTCGACAGTCTGAACGGAGCCCAACAGGGTCCGATACATCATCGTAAAGACCCAGCGGAGACTAGCAGCACACAACTGAAGTCTGTCATGCGAATACAGGGAACCTGATGGGGGTGAAGACTGGTGCAACGATCCCCCAAAATAGAGCCCAGGGAAGCAAAATGAACCCAGAGGCAAGGATCTGTGAAGCTCATCTTCGCGAGCCCGACAAGCACTGCGACGAGACAAGAAACGCACTCACCCACAAGCTGTACTGTTTGGCTAAGGCTCGTTGGTCGCCTCTGCGGGGGCCGCAACCTTGCCGGTCTTGGGGCTATAGTGCACCTCAAGAGTCCACCCATTGGAGGAGCCATTCGAATCCCCTCTGTGTCTCTGTCCCTGTCTGTGCGCACTGTGCGCATGTATGGCCACAAACGCTTCCCCAAACAATCGACCTATGAGCATACAAGAACGGTGACCGGTACACGCAAAGAGACAAACACATGCATGCATGCATGTGTTTGCAAAGGCAGGCAAGTAGGCATCTAGAAACACTCACTGCAAAAAGAACGGAGGTATGCAAAAGCACGTTTCTAAGTAATTACTGATGCTTCCAAGTGAACTCTTCCGGTTCTACATGGTTCTACTGATTCCACTACCGTACTAAATGCTATGGTTGTTCCCGTAATTCCGCCGTCAGCTAACTGCAGCATGCCCTTGACCGGCTAGAACTCCTGTGCCTGGGGATCTTAGTTCGCTAAGCTGTTGTCTATGATGTGAGGCTCCGTCTTGGGCTACAAGACTACCTTAGGCTCTCAAGCGCATCTTGAGCCCGATAGCAACCTGTTCTTCTTAGCTTTGAGACTGTCGAGTCAGGTCTTCCGTAAGAACCCAAGACAGCAAGGTAGAAGCTGCGAGTCTGCTCTGCGAAGCAGAGCTGCGCCAGCATTCTCAAGGCCCAGGTTCGCCCCCTTGGTGAAAACAACAAAAGCCCGAGAATGAAGTGTCCGACCCCCACCAATGCTGACACAGTGCGGCCCCTGCACCGCCCTCCCTCAGGTTGAAGATAAAGCTCAAATCGAAGAAACACGTGATGTCATGATGATGATGGTCGCACAGCAACCATCTCTTTCTTCAGGATAACGATCCTCATCATCTGCCCCTTTGTGATCGCCGTCATCAGCACCAACAGCAGCAGGGACAGCCAGCGTCGCCACCGTCGTCGTCACCAGCTCCATAAGAAACACCATCGTTGAAATCACGACGAGCATCACCACCCTGGTCATTGCGGTCATCGTCGTCCTGACTACTATCGTCGCCACGAGGACCATAGCCCATCAGTGCCACGTCCGCCATCTGCACAGGCAGCCCCATCAAAGCCAGCCATCATTTCCCCGCACTCACTGCACTTATCATAACGGGCATTACCATCCTTTTCGTTGTCGTCTCCATCGTCGCCAAACGAACATGTCACCCCCAGCAATCAATATCGTTTCCGACGCATACAACCTGAAGGCACTGTCGAGGTGACCTCCACTTGCTGCGTTGTCCCTGCAACCCTTCAAAGAAAGCCCAACCGACAACCCTCCCTGCATCTCCCTACCAGCCATGACTGCAGCGCAGTCCACAACTGCCCAGAGCCACCGGAAGGGTTCGGCTGCAGAACATGTTTCTGAGGCGCTAACCGCGGCCGTTTGCTGAAGACTACACCCGAAATCCAAACACCATATGCCACCAAAACCACCAAATAGTAAACCCTGCTGGGCTTTGATCCTGGCAACCTCACCGGTGCGGCCAATGGCCAAGAGGACAGTGTCGAACTCGTCGCTAAACTCCTGGAGGGCTTCATGATCGGATTTATCACAGTGGGTGTTTGTTCTGGTGAAAATACCTTAGGTGCGGCTTTCGATAACTTGTCCGTAAATGTTAGGAATACTTTCTCACGTTCTCGGTCTTCTTACAGTAAGGGTTCTTCGGCTCTTGGGTCCTCAGGGTCTGCGTTTTGGAGGTCTCCTTGGGTGCTGACTTGGGGTTGATACGGTTTCGTGTCGGCTTTACAGAGTGTCAGAGTACCCCCCCAACAGGGTCATTACAACCGTGCTTCAACTGCGCTGTCCATCATTTTTTGCCTCCCGCTAGGACACAGCCCCGTTCAATGTGTCTTTTTTTCCTTCCTACTTAGCGAGCCTTGCTCCTTCTGCGATTGGACTTCCGATCTCGCATTCCCCGCTTTTCCGGGATGGGCCCCAAGCCTCAACTTACAGGAAATGTAAAGCACGTATACCCCGTTGCCCGATTCTGGCGATGTTCGTCCTGGTCTCCCTTCTTCCAAATGGCTTTCACCTTGCTCAGAATAGACTGGGTTCTTGTTAAGGGATTTAATTTAAGTTACCATAATAGGGATCTATAGTAAATAGTATGGTTTCCTTATTATGGTAACTTAAATTAAATCCCTTAACAAGAACCCAGTAGAGCTTTCGCTTCCGGGCGTGAAGTCTGGGGGGTGCCCCTTGCGTGCTCGAACATCCTTGCACTTGCACGAACACCTGGCAGCATTTCGCACAAAAAAAGGACTCCAAAATACTCCAAAAAGCAGCCTGAATTTCACAGAGGGAGTCTTTCAAAATCCTTATGCCCGAACTCACCCAACTCACTGGCTTTTGGCTTCCTGGGCCAACTGGCTCCCAAGAAAGCAGCTTTGGGGGAAGCCTAATCAAGGGCTGCATCGGCATCCGTATCCAAAATTTGCCCCATCGAGCTTTGATGAGCCGTGACACCTTCTTCGTGGTACCCTTCTCGAATCTGTCCTGCAAAGGAAAGCACTCTGCCACGGCATGCTTTTGCAAACCTAGATTGCCCGGGCACCTTACCCTCGCCAGCTTGAGGCTACTTTTGAAAATGCCCATTGCCGGAGGACCACTAAGAATTGAGACCTTTCAGTACACTTGGATACACTTGGATCCTACGTCCAAGCCATCTTGTCGCTACCCGGCCCTAAGCCAACCCCAAAGCAATCTCGGATGCTCCGGCACCGTGCCGCGGATGAACTTCACTCCAACCTTCGGAGCGTTCAGGTGTGGAGCAACGCGGGACAGCACTAGATGGCACAAGTCGAGGCCCAGCAAAAGCTGCCGATGCTAACTAGAAGGCAACGAACTGCTTCAGGATGAGAAAGGGAAAAGGGCAGCCTTCTCTATAGCGTCGCTGAATGCGGCTGACGATTATCGTGTCCTGTTGCGTCAAACTTTATAAGGACTATAGAAATACGAAAGGGTGTGCTGGAAACAGTTGCACAAAGTCTGCTATGCCAAAGGAATTGGTGAAAGGGCAACCTCGCCCAAGGCGGTCCCTCGAACGGCTCGGGGCCCAAACCCGCAAAAATGAGGACCGACAAGCTCATGCAATGTCATGTTGAACGTGGTGCTCGCGTTGCTAACCATTCCTTCAGGGAGATCGCGAAAACCAGCACTCACGCCCGGGTCAACAAAGAAGCAACCTGCCTTCTGCATGTACAGGTCGATCTTGTCCACGCACTCACGGTCGAATCCACGCAGCAGCATGGAACGCACCATGACTGTGGTATCCTGCACAACTCTACGCACGAACCCCTGGCGTAGGCTTCTTGTTTTCTGTTTAGCCGTACTGCCAGGTTGCAGCACAAACAATAATCTGCTTGCGCTTTCTGTGTAATGAGGCCTGCTGCTTGCATGGCCCATCTCTTCCCCGGCCCTGATATCCCTGCCGCTGCCGTCAATGTACTACACATGGGGCGCTGGTCACTTGTCCTAGTCCTCTAAGGTTTGGAGGATCCTTCCCTTATTTTCCCGGCTGTGCCCATACGAGCTGGTGCGAGGAGCCTCGTGGGTCCCTTGTTACACTCGTTGCTTCATCTCTCAATCTCCACTGCTCAGCTCCCGGCGTAGCCAAGGCCATTCAAGAAGCCAGCGCACTCCTTGCAGCTTCGCGGCATCTGGGTTAATGGGACCCGGAGAGGGGAGGGGCAGTTGGCGCTTTTGCTTCCAGGCCGTACAAGGGCCACCCCATCCGTATGAGATGCCAACTTACAAGTCTTTGGGTTGTCTATGCAAGTCCAAGCTCACCCGGGCCCTGAGAATAACTCCAGGGAGCCAAGGTGTCCATATCAGTACTTCAATGCCTTATGGCTTCCACGAATGCATCCCCAACGCCAGCACTTGAACTCCCCCGGCCAGGGCGATGTAGGCCGCCCCGACCACCAGGGTCTTGCCGGGGGCCTCCTTGAGCCAGAAGAGGTCCTCAGCTTGCGAGGCTTTCGAAGCCCATCAGCCCTCCATCGGCTTCAGGGCTCTTAGGAGTTGTAGGACCGGGTAGTGACGACCAGAAAACCTGACGCTCACCTTCGAAGCCGCCCAGGGAACACCATGGAATGCCATGGGTCTGGGCCTGCATCGACACGGGCGCAGCAAGTCAGCTCTGTTTTGGCGTTCTCGCACAGGATGTCTTGAATCGGTTTAAGCGGAATGGCCAAGGGAGGATGGGAAGCAGTCGAACTTGGGAATTTATTCCCAAAGTCGCCGGTCCTTCCCAATCCTGGCCTTGAGCATTCAGGGCGACTTGCAGCTGTCGGGGGAGACTCCATCGCACCCGCCCACGCCCGACCATCCAACTCCATCTCCCTCAGTTTGCCGTTTCGTGCAAGGCAGAAGATGAGCTTCTCTTCTTGAGGCTCCCTTTGATAAGACGGTTTGAAGTGACGACCAATCGCCACCCGGAACCCTAATCAACACCCACAGCCCTAAAGCCCAGACCCCATTTTGCTAAACCCTAAGCCCCAAAACCCGAAAGCCCTGGACCCTAAATCGTTTTGAGATGGACTGCAGATCAGAAGTGGCAAAGCCATAGCTGGGACCTCACAGCCACCCAGGCACAACACCCCTCAGCACCCATCTTGGAGGGCGCGAATACCCAAAGAGTTAGGCGGTTTAGCTACCAGAAAGTTTTCAGATCACAGCAACTGCGAGCCTTCTGGATACTTGAACCCTCGAACTACACAAACTGCATCCCTTATGTTTACCTTGTTTGCCTTTCTGCATCCGACCTTTATACTAGCTTGGCCCCCTGCCTGGATGGCGAAACGAGGCGCCATGCAGCCGCCAATTTTTGTGAGACGGCGGTTCTCGGCCGAAGTGGCTGCCCCCTTACGGAGCCTCGGCCTCTGAAGGTCTTGGGGCTTGTTTTGTTCGGCCTTGCTGCTGCTGTTGTGGTGACTACCTGTAGAATAAATGTGATTGGTGTGGCTGATACGGCTATGACATGAGTCTTGACGAGTCTTGTTCTTAGCGTTGGGGTTAGCTGCATGAAAGAGTCGTATGTCCCCCCGTGCTCGGTAGACGTTAACAGAATCTGAGACTTCCCGTAGCGTGGATAGGAAGCCAATTGTCAGCCCGATCAAAACAACTTTGTTCATTGTTGTCATTGCAGGCAAACTGTTGTCGGGACGAGGCACATCGTAAACCACGACAGTCCGGTTTCTTTATTGTAGTAACTTCACACTCAAATAACTGTCATGAGTCATGAGAGCGAGACGGAGAGAAAGAGAGGGAGGCGGAGAGATGATTCCCTGAATATACTGGCTTCTGAATACGTGTTCAGTATGTTGGCAACTTGAAGTGCTACAAGCTCCCGCCTCGAGGCTCCTCGTACAATCAATTCTATCGTACACATCGATCCTCTCGGAACGATCCAATGGGAATCGGTCCTGGGACTCTTCAAGCAGTTGACTGCGCTCCTTCCGAAGACAGGAGATACTTTCAAGCTCGGGGCTTACGAGGGCTTACGCGGCCTCTAGGCAGATTCGATGGGCTGCGAAGCTAAGCGTCCCGGACCACAGGCCAACACTATCCGCGATAAGCCCACCTTGCGGACTTTGTCCGTTGAGGTGAAACCGAAGACGGGAAAATCAGCCACCCAACCTTCGATGGGTGTGCTTTCTAGGCAGTTGTCCAGGTTAGAGACTTTGAAGTGCTATCCTTTCCAGGCTAAGGTTGCAGGTGCATGGCACTTTGGACAACTCTTCTTCATCAGACTGCGCTTCATCGTTGGGATCTCAGCGCTCTCGGAGCCGCTATCACGTGGGCCAAGCAAAGCCACAAAGCCAAGAGAAGCCGAAGGACACAAGGGCGCTTTCTGGAGTCGGAGAGCAGCAGTACTGACGATAATCATCACAGTAGTCGGTTGGCGTCATCATGGAGTAGCAGTTGCAGACAGTAGTATTATTAATATTGTTAGTAGTAGTAGTAGTAGTA